TCAACAGTCTTCCGATGAGTAGTGTAATTTCTTTCTTGCTTGAATACCCTATTTTGCCTTCTGTGTCGCGGGCTGCTGTTGTTAATGGCTGTACAATATGCTTTGATGTTGAATCCTATTTGTTTTGCTCACCATGTGAATTTCCATGCACTTCCTGTAATTTGCCGGCATTTGTTGTATCTTAAAGAAGGCATGGCCGCTCCCACACACCAACGTCGTCCGGTAGGTCTTTACTCCCAGACTTCCTGTCTTCTGCCTTTTGGCTCATCACTATCCATTGAGAAACAGCAGCCTTCACAGACCCACGGCAGCCTTCACAGACCCACGGCAGCCTTCACAGACCCACGGCAGCCTTCACCGTCCCGCGGCAGCCTTTACCAGCCCACGGCTGCCTTTACCAGCCCACGGCAGCGTTTACCAGCCCACGGCAGCATTTACCAGCCCACAGCGGCCTTCACAGACCGATGGCGGCCTTCACAGACCGATGGCGGCCTTCACAGACCGATGGCGGCCTTCACAGGCCCACGGCTGCCTTTACACGCCCACGGCTGCTTTTACAGCCCCATGGCGCCCTTTACTGGCCCATGGCTAAATTTACAGACCCACACTTGGCTTTACACACCCCCAGCTGCCTTTGTCACTGCCAGGCTGTCTCTGTGGCCTACACCCCCCTTGATTATGACAGGCCTTCAGCTCAGGTGGAGGTGCCCCCGCCTCCATGCGTCACCCCTAAGGTGACGGTGTCTTGGGTAGAGGTGTGGAGCCAGTATCATAACCTGAAAATATGCTGGTGGAGCTTAGTGACTCCTTAGCTCAGGTTACGGCCGTTCCCCACTGGCAAAATCAGAACTTAAATTGGGTGCATTTTGCACATTCGGCTGATTGATTGTTTTCCTGCCCGTGAGATTGACATCACTGGGTAAATATACATGTCTGTACCGCTCATCTGATTGGGTAAAAATGACCATGGGGATCATAGGTCATGGGAAGCGGGTTGCAGCTTCATACTTCCTCCCTGTGCACGGGATTCCCCAAGTGCCGATCCCCAGCCGAAAGGGGAATGACCACATTCTGTGGGTCTGTTGGGGGACGTGAGTGTGAATCATTCATTTGCTTTTTACGGCTCAATGTGGCAGACAGAATTTCTTCTAAATTTTTAGCAGAAACATCTACCCACAGCCAGAGCTGGATAATTCAAGTCCGGAGAGTAAAAGTCCAGGCCAAGATTTTGTTTCAAAGTTTAGTATAAAGAGTTACAGTCTGAGTCCTCAACTGGTTGGTTGAAACAAAATCCTGGTCTGGACTTTTACTCTCTGGACCTGAATTACCAAATTCTGCTGACATTATACCTGTTTTAGTCCTCTAATTAAATCACTGATGACAAACGAATCATTTGGACTAAGGAATGTAAATCACTGTGTGCCCCCATGCTGTGTTGGAGGAGTCGACGTCAGTTGGCAGGCCAAAATCTGAAAGGTTTCTTCTCGTACTGGACCCTGGACAGAATCGGGCATTCCGATAAACTGGTCTGTGGTCCATTTAGAATAAGAAGATGATGAGTTATTCATCTTAACATTACATCATGGACTGTTGTTTAGGAGTTACACAGAAGGGGAGGAATACCTCTGTTTTTTCTGCTTCCGCTTACTAGGACAAAGTGTTGAACTTTGGTGGGGGAGGGGGGCTTTCTCTCTTACTCTCTCCATTTGTGATTGCGACCATTGTGCTGACGCATTCCTGTGACTCTCAAAGTGGGAGCTCAGGAATTCCCCCGGGGATGAATCGCACCCCGAGGTGTGTTTGGCTAAGTTTGTATAGTGACCATTTCCACTTGCAATGTTCGGTCATCCCCGTTTGCTCGAAAGTTCATCTTTCTTGGCACTGTGGAAAGCAGATACCTCAGAAACACCAGGCTGAAATGTATCACAAACCTTGGGAGTCTCACAGATATTTGAGCCCTTTTCTTTTGCCTTTAAAACGTCGGACATTCTGAATAGAAGCGACCATATCTTGAAGCTCCTGCCTTATCAGAACAATGAAGCGGATTTTTACAGCACCCTGCAAACCAGCAAAAAGTCAAACTACATTAAGCGGGATCTCTGCTACTTTGATAACTTCCGATACAGGCGAAGGTGAACAGAAGCTTTATCTGGCCCCCAAGCTCCAAAAGGCATTGATACTGACAGGCCCCACACAGTGAGGACAGGGGCTGAATGCAGAACCATCTCTGCTATTTATTCTCAGCGAGTGTCTGACTTCACAACAGTGCCTTTAACCCCAGTCCTTAAGCTTTCTCACAGTACTAGCAACGTCCTCATGTGGACTCCTATTCGAGGATTTGAGATGTTTCTCGCCTCTCAGAAAGCCTGGGGTTTATTCCATAAACGCTTCACAGTATGAATTTGGGAGTCGGCAGCCAAGCTTCCGTGGCCGGAGTGAAGGGCCAGCCATTTACCATTTCATGGAAGGCTGCTCGGAGCTGGACAGCGAGGCGGCCATATTTGTGGTTTCCACGGCGTATTGAAGCGCGTGCATTTGGAGCACGCAGAACGTCGCCCCTGGCAGAAGGGCTCCCGATGTGGGTACCAGCGGGTTGAAGGTCGACCTAATTCACAGCCGGTTTGGAAATTCCAGACCTTCAACTAGGAATGCTGAGCACCCTCTGTACTCCGGACGACGTTCCCATCAGTCGCCTGGTCGGATCCTGGAGGAGACGGGATGAGACTGTCTCCTGTTGCAGATTTGACAGGCGGGTTCAACCCCCGCCACAGTGCCGGGAAAGGGTTAGCCTCAGGCTCTGTCTGCGCTGTGAAGGAATGCAGTCGCTGCTGGGATATTAGCAATGACGCTTTGATAGCGGGCTACAGTGGTGATTAGCCTCTGTAGGCTAACAAGTGGACTGAGTGAGAGTTTGCGCATTACACTTTCTGGTCCCTTAAAATATGAAATGCAGAAAGAGCATTGGCACTTGGGCCAGATCCCTGTGGTCATGCCAGGCTGAGAGAACTGACCTATCACTAGGCCTCGGCCATGACTACAGATGCGTCGTTCGGCTGGGGTTGGAGAACGGTTGTAGATGCTGACGCCCAGGCCTGTTAGACTGCCTGCAGGGCGTAGACTATGCAGGACTCCTGGAAGACTGGGGGGCAGGGGCGGGTGTGAATGTAAAAGACCATTGAGTAAGAACGTTTTTATTGCGCACTGTTGCACCACGATGTGGCTCGTTTTGATGGAGGTGTCGTGTGTCTTATCCAGGTGCCAGCTTGGAGAAACCTCTGCCTCCAGTAGCCATGGGGCGCTGTTTGCTCAGCTGCTCTCCCGAGGTTCCCTGATTTGCCGTGACTCAGTCGGCTGCTTTATATAATTGCCTTTGATGTCAGGCTGGTCCTCTGAGGGGAGTTTCTAACCGGATGCGTGAGATTCGAGTCCCCTGCCATCCGATGCCCTTGGCTTGACGTTTGCAAACGGAGTGATGCGTGAATTCCAAGGAGACCTCATGGGCTGTTTAGATTAAGGTGGTTTAAATGTACAAATGGCAGGGTATCCGGCGGATCACCTTCAGCACTGAAGGGAGAAAGAGCCCTTGTGTTAGAGGATATAGCTGTCTTCCACCTTGCCCTTATTTACAAAGGCTATCCAGTGTCATCATTATGTCGTGTTTCTGGCATAGGCGTCCCAGGTTTTTTAGGGGAGGAACATCCTTCACAACATGCTTGTTCCCTCTGCAAAGGAAGTTGATTTTCTCCTGGGTGTGTCGAGGCTGCATTACTCTGTTCTGGTTCTTCAACACAGAAAAGGAACTTCTAAACAATGAGAGATATGTAAACACAAAGACAGTTACATCTATAAATATCTAATGCAGGAAGTGTTTTAGACTATTTTTTGTTTTTTTTTACAAATGCAGACCAAGGTTTTGTTTTAAGCATCCAGTTGAGTATAAAAAAATCAGTCTGATTACTCAACTGGTTTGTTGAAACAAAAGCTTGGTCTGGATTTGTACTTTCTGGACCTGAACTTTCTACTGTTTGTAATTTATAACTTTTGTTAGTAACTTCCCCACCCCTGTGATTATGATTGTATAAAGATATAAAAAACTAGCATTACTAATATACACACAGCTATTTACAAAGTACATTTATATGATATACCTGTGCCCGACTATGCTCTGCTCCCCCGCCTGATACTTGCCATGTATTAAATGCTCTAATAGACCAGTTTTTCCCAATCTGGTCCTCAGGGACCCACAGTCAGTCCCTGTTTTTGCTCCTCTCAGCTCCCTGCCAGACAGTTCACATTTATGCTTTCTTCCGGGAGCTGGGAGGGAGCAAAAATGTGGACTCTCTGTAGGTCCCCAAGGACTGTATTGGAAAACACTGCGATAGACTGTTAGCGTGAAGGCTCGCTTTCCAGTTCACTCGACATCTGCTTTTAATCGGGGGTGGCCCATAGTTGGTAGTGAATCAGCTACTGTAGTGAACCCCCCCCATCTCCATTTTCTTCAGCTGCTGGCAAAAGCCCCATTGGAAAAAAAGGAGGAACTTGCGTAATTCTATAGTTCAGTGTGGCCTCTGCCTCGGTTTTACAAGGGTTTCCAGAACCTCTGTTTGGTGCTGTGCCTCTGCTTCTACTCCAGCAGGCTTAGTCATGGCAGTTGGGCCCGAATTCTTTTACCAGTGGTGTATCACCCCATCGGGGCAGGTCTGGGCTCCAGCTAAGTTGGTAGTGCTGGCACTCGCAGCCCAGCTCTGCTGGTGTGGTTGGATAGGATGGATGTAGTAATCTATGCAGTTGGGTTTCTTAGAGGAAGTGGGCTGCCAATTGATAGTCTGTTTGAGGACGGGACCTTGAGTAATGTTGACCGCATGTTGACATGGCCACCATGGTGGTCAGTCTCTCAGCCTTGATTCTTTGGTGTCTCCCTGGCTACATGGGTATCTGAGCATTATTCCGTGTCGTAGTGATTCATGGTGTCTCTGGTTTTGCTTTGTTCTGTGTTGCAGCAACGGGTTCCCGGCAAGGTTCTCTTTGACTTGGTCTGCGCCCACCTGAACTTGATCGAGGGGGACTACTTTGGCCTGGAGTTCCAAAACCAGCGCAAGATGACTGTGAGTCTTCGTCGAAAAAACGGCCTTTTGTTCATCGGAATTCCATCCCTCTGTTGTGAGCGGTGCTGATTAGTCCCCGTCTTGGGCTACAAAAGGTCTGTAGTGCTGAGCAGATCATCTCAGGGGCCATCAAAGAGCAGGCAGTTATCTGTGAGAGACAACATTTATATCCTTGAGCAAGAAACATCCACACAGAGCCAAGACAGCAAGTTAAATTCAAAAACAGGCAAATTTAACGGAGGGGGGTCACACTTTGAAGCCAGATGCTATACCCCCCGAGTTTCCAGCTCTGTTCCTTGCCACCAGCTGTGCCTACATACTTGGGGGAGTATCAGTGGACCCCCCACCCCCCCCCCCAAGCAGGCTCTGACTCCATGTTTGTTTCCACAGGTCTGGCTGGACCTGTTAAAACCCATCGGCAAGCAGATCACGCGTGAGTGTCCCCCCGGGGGAGCCCCCCCGACCCAGCCAGCACGCCATAACCGCAGGCAACAGGCAGAAGAAGGCCCTGCAGAGCCCCTGCATGCGAGAATGTCTTATATAAGCAGGGCGGCTGGGCTTTCAGCTGGAACTCCTATAAATCGTTGCGAGTCTGTGTGGGGAAACAGGAAATTCTCAAAAATAGAATCGCTGTTTGCTTTGCCTTAACGTTTATTTTTAATATATCATTTCTCGTATATCAGGTTTAAGGAGTATGCGTGAATGATAAATATGTCATTGTAAAACTGTAATAAGGCGTGTCCTTGCAGAGCCCAAGAACACGATCCTGCGGTTCGTGGTGAAATTCTTCCCTCCAGACCAGGCTCAGTTGGTGGAAGAGCTCACCAGGTAAGCTGAGCAGCACAGTGTCCCTGCCTCTCACCGCGTTCCTCCACCTCGTCTCCGGCCTCCATTGTTCCTTATCTGCAGCTGTCTGCACGCTGCCTATCGAGCCAGTACCTCCCCCCCCCCCCAGCCTGGCTCGAGCCGGAACCCGGGCAGATTTATTCTGTCTTTTCTCCCCCCAGAGCTGGAAGATTAGTGGACCGGAGCTGCCCTCAGCTGTTCTTGAGAATGGGGGCCTTGTTTGGGTTATGGCAGGCTTCAGCAAAGCAACTGGCTGCTCGTCATGAGCTGATTGGTCCATCTGCTGCCGGTGGCCAGATTCGGGGCGCTCTATCCCCAAGAGCAAGCTTATGAATCAGAACGGCTCCAGGCGCCGGCATTTTCTGCATTATTCTGCAAAACGGGGGGAAGGACAAAGAAACATCAGCTGCCAAAATCAAGGGACAGCTACTAACCCCCCCCCCCTCCCCTCAAATGTTTCAGATAATTTCCTTTTAAGTTTAAAAAAAAATCTGTAAAACTATATTTCCGTTGTTGCAGATGTTTATCTACAAATTTCCAAAAAAAAAAAAAAACGGAAATCTAGATTTAGGCTAACATGTCCTGGGCAGCCAGCAGTCCATTCCCGTCCCTTTTGGGTCTCTGGACTCAGTGTGCTGTGTAAACACCGTGCTGGCTTTTGCTCAATGCTGAATGCCTTTTCCACAGAACGCCAAGACCACCGGCTCCGGAATGCTGATTTATATTTGTTTAGCGTAAAGCTGTCTGTCCTGTCGAAGCTTTTCCCACTGTACATTAACTCTGCTTTGTTATTGTCCTCGCTGACACATGAATCCCGAGGAGACAGAGCCCAGTTTGTCCCATCTCTATCATGTCTGTGTGGCTGGTGCCACTTGTTTCCATCTGGCGTGTTTGACCAAGTACCCAAAGCATATCTCACACCTGGATATTTCCTTGGGCGGCGTTAATCAACCCAGTCCTTGGGGATGCCTAGAGTGTCCATCTGGGAGCTGGGAAGGATACAAGCAAATGGCCTGTCTGAGAGTTCCTGGGGACTATGTTGAAAAGCACTGTTCTAGCACAAGTGTGGTTAACACCTTTCCTAGGGTTAGGGTGACTGAATAGCTCCACAATAACTAGATCGGCTGTTGTCTGTTAGCACACTGGTCACTTTCGCCCTCTTCTCTACCCTCCCAGGTACCTCTTTGCCTTGCAGATCAAATACGATCTGGCTTGTGGACGGCTGACCTGCAATGAAAGCAGCGCCGCCCTGCTGGTCTCCCACATTGTTCAGTGTGAGTCTACGGCTGCACCTGGTTATTACAATTGTCTGATTTTCTGTGGTCTGTGTTGTTCTTTAAACTTTTTATAGAAAGTCCTTTACCGAAGGTGTAGACACGTGTCTTCTGTCTTTCCTGTTGCTTGTTACACTGTGCATCGTCCATTTTTGGCCGTTCTCCATGCAGAGCACGTGAAACGCTTGCGTAGCTCCTGGTACCCGGAGGAGCCCCACAGTAAAGGTTTCTCTCCTCCCCCCAGCTGAGATCGGGGACTTTGACGAGACGCAGAGCAGGCAGCACCTCCTCTACAATAAATACATTCCCGAGCAGGAGGCCCTGATGGACAGAATCGTGGATTTCCATCGCAAGCACGTGTGAGTCTGGTGGGCTGGCATGTGTGGGTGTGCTTTTTAAATAAGACATTTTTGTTATGTTTCAGTTTTGTTGAAATGGCTTAATTGACTTTATTGGAGTTGGGAGGACATCCATTAAAGTAGAAATGTTGCCCTTGTATGTGTGTGTGTGTGTGTGAGAGAGAGAGAGCAGTGTATACATATGTGTGCGTGCATGCATGCTATGTCACCATAATAATCCTTCATGCAGTTCAATTAAGTGGAAGAGATGGTGTTCATGTCTCATTAACAATTAATCCCTTTAGGAAAATGCCACTTGAAAGGTCAGTCACATTCCACCGGACTCATTCCGGACAGAGTCATTTCAGCAGAACCATTTACCGATTATTGCCCTGATCTGTGCCATCTACTGCACGTCTCTCAAGCGCAATACGGTCGCATTCCGTTTTTAAATGTCTTTAGCGTGGCTTTCGATTTTCAGAGTCGCATGGTCATAGAAGCAGCGTCAACATCTCTGAAACCGCGAATGACTTCCTACAGAAACGATTACAGTCGCTATCGAGTGTGTGAGTGGTGACTGATAGAGGGTGGGAAAGCCCCCACATCCTTTTCTTGTCTCCCCCTCGTATGGGCCCATCCAACTCGCCACCGACATTAACTCCCGCCTGTAATGGATGCCGTCCTGCTATCTGTACAGCTGGAGAGGGAGGGCCAGCCGCCGACAGGCCTGCAGTAGATATCGCTGCCCCGCGTCCTGCCCCCCCACCCCTCGCCACTCCCTTCCCATTTGGTGATAACGCCAAGACACCGTTCCGGGTGTAACCTCGCTGAGAATTCAGTCACTAATTAAGCACCGCACCAGGAAACAGGAAGTCATTTTCAGAAATTACTGAGGCAGGGAAGCTTCCTGTTGGAGGGGCCCCCCGGTCGAGCTGGCTGAGGTTTATGCTGGCTTTCACAACTCGGCCATGAAGGTGCATCTACTGCACGTCTCTCAAGTGCAATACGGTCGCATTCAGTGAACCCTTCATTATGATAGCTCGTTAAGTTAGGGATCAGGAACTCTGAAGTAAATGCTGCATACGCCTGGTGCGGAGCTTGGAAGAACGGCGAGGGATTTTTCCTAGATACACGAGCGACGTGACATGCAACTTAGGACAATGCTGGTGGATGTGTTTCCATTACAGTGCAGGCATGTCCCTACATAACAGTTTACTCTTTCTCAGAATTAATGTCACATGACGTCAGTGTCTGAGGTCCAATCGGGTGGTTAATTATGCAAGTCTCAGAGTGAGCAATTAGTTTGACAGTCATGGCTAATAGTTGTTTGCCACATTTCAAAGAAGTGTTTTATGACTGTTCTTGCAAGTTAATCTAATGCACAGTTAAATTACAACATTTTATGGGGTAAAATGAATTATAACTGATGTGGAAAGTATGCTGTAAACCATATGCAAGCTGATGGAATAGGACAATAATACAATTCAGTAGAAGCTGTAAATACTGATGATTTAGCTAGCTCGACATTCCTGATTAAGCCTCCTTGTTACTTCACAGGACATTACGGGAAGCTTTGAACACGTGTCAGTAATTAAAATACAGTTTATATCTGGACATTAAGGCTCCTTGTCTATGGAGGCACGATGTGAGTTACCAGATTCGTTTTTCTTCTCCAGAGGCCAGACCCCGGCTGAGTCTGACTACCAGCTCCTGGAAATCACGCGTCGGCTAGAGATGTATGGCGTGCGTCTCCATCCAGCCAAAGACCGGGAGGGCTGCAGACTGAGCCTGGCTGTCGCCCACACGGGAATCCTGGTCTTTCAGGTGACTGGCGGACTCTTCCGGTCTGTCACTAGGGTACAAGGTTTGAGAATTGGCTAGTATTTCTTAATTGGCCAGTTGGATACTCAACCTTTTGCCCTGCTTTTCTGATGGGAAATCCGTGCTTGTTCCCAGTTAAAATGGTCATTTTGATGTAGCCCATTTACAGTGCTGTTGTTTTATGATGGATAATTTGTTTTGTTTCGAAGAAGCCTTCCCTTATATATCCCTGGCTGAACGTTGAGAGTACATGTCCAAAATAAACATATGTTCAGTTCTGGGACAGTAATATATTACCCAGAATATACAGTAATGTCCTTTTGCCCAATAGAAGGAGAGGCTTCATTTCTGGTAGTTTCAGAGAAAGCCTCCTCATTAAAAACACCGCAAGCAGACAGTGAAAGCTATTTTTTCTTGTTTATAGATTTTCCCCAATGGGAACTGGCTTTTTCTTTCCGTTTTTGTGTGTTGCTGAAATTGAAGGAACGTTTATCATTGTGCTGAAAGGGCCATCAGACTGAGAGTTTTTTCCCCCCTCATGTGTTTTCTGAAGGGGCACACGAAGATAAACGCCTTCAACTGGTCAAAGGTCCGAAAACTGAGTTTCAAAAGGAAGCGATTTCTCATCAAACTGAGACCGGACCCAAATGTGAGTGCCTCTTTCATAGTGACCCCTGTCTCAGACAAAAGGGCTGCGTTGTGGTACAGTGATAATGAATGATGATGATGAGGATGAAGACGAAGAACATCTTCGGTTCAGTTGTTACAACTGTAGAGATTGATGTCAGGTGTTTTAATAATAGGAAGGCTCTCAGAATAATTCAGCTATAAATTGTATAACAATCATTGTGTGTGTATGGCTGAACATAAGCTGACCATGTAAATAACATTCTTTTATTTGCGGTATGAGTTTAAACTGAGATTAGAACCTAGAGAACCTTGAAGCAGATTGTCAATCTGGGGTCATATATTTTAATAATAAAATAGTCATATTTTATCCCCTCCTCCTTGTTGTGGATACCAGCTACTCAAAATTTTCCCATTTTACCTTCATTCAGCAACATGTTCAAACCTGCTTGTGCTGTCTGTAGCAGTCTGTACGGCTGACCTGCTACTGTGTGACTGCCCCCTACTGCAGAGCGCATGCCAGGACACCCTGGAGTTCCTCATGGTCAGCCGGGACCACTGTAAGGTCTTCTGGAAGATATGTGTGGAGTACCATGCCTTCTTCAGGCTCTTTGAGGAGCCCAAGCCCAAACCCAAACCTGTGCTCTTCACCAGGGGGTCCTCCTTCAGGTTCAGGTAGAGTCCGATGATGGTGCAGACACTGGGACAGATTTTTTAATACTTTATGGCAGTGTTTCCCAATCCAGTCCTTCGTGGACCCGCAGTCGGTCCATGTTTTTGCTCCCTCCGAGCTTCCAGTAGGGAGGGAGCAAAAACATGGACCGACTGTGGGTCCATGAGGACCGGATTGGGAAACACTGCTTGATGGTTACGGAGATAATGATTTACTACATGGGTATCGCTGAAATAACTATGAGTTATTCCACAACACGTCTTACACATTTCTTTTCTCATGTTCTGTCACCTCCTCCTTCTCTCCATCACCGTCTTGTCCTCTCCATGTCTTCCATCTGTACTTCTATTCAGCGGCCGGACACAGAAACAGGTGATTGACTACGTCAAGGACTCGGAATTCAAAAAGATCCCTTTTGAAAGGTAGGACTTTGGGTATTTCAGAATTGTGTTTCTTTTAGGACATTGCAGGTAGTCTACAGTCCACTTTTAGCCTGCTGGATCTGGACATCGCCACAGAATGCTCTGGAAAGGTAGCCGAGGAGGCTGTTTGATGAAGCGTGTGTGTCCTGGGCTGAGCCGGGATGGGGCACCATTACCGGCCTCCCATTCCGCTTCTGTCTTCCAGGAAGCACAGTAAGATCCAGTCCAGCAGCAGCCCATCTCTCCTGCCCTCCCTGCGGCGCTCGGACGTTCCCACAGAGGTCAGTCGTGCTTCCAGCTCTGCTCCCATCCCTCATTTTAGCCGAGGAAGCCTTGCCGCTGAATGACTCAGTGTGGTCTACAAGCTTATGTTTAATTCAGCTGCCGAAAGCAGGTCAGTAAATGTAGACGGACCTCAAACACCTTCCATAGTGTGTATATTTATCGGCATATGTAATGATCAGTCCTTAGTAAGCACAAGTCTGGTTACTCCTCTTATTTATTTAATGTTATTGAGTTTATTGACGTATTTTATGAAGTACACTGTCAGAAAAAAAATAGTACCATTTTGTACCTTTGTCACTGGGGCTGTACCCTCAAGGGTCTACCAATTGTACCATAGCTGCAGATAAATGTACCTTTTAAGATACAGAAATGGACCATGAGGAACATTTTAGCTAGCACACAATTGGCAGACACTTGAGGGTACAGCCCCAGTGACAAGCAAAGGTACAAATTGGTGCCCTTTTTCTCTGACAGTGTAGGAGAAGGTGACTCTTGCTGTTGAGCCTGTTGAGGTGGCCGCCGTCCTCGTTGGTCATTGGTAGCCTGACCTTCTGACTTTGCTCCCCAGAGCACCAGCAGCACCTCCGGGATCAAGACCGAGTCCTCGAGCCAGCACAACTGGAGCTCGGCGGAACAGCAGGGGAGCAGCCCCTCTGCCCAGCACAATGGGGGAGGATGCGAGGCTCGGGTCGGCCCCGGGGCGGAGGAGGGGCGGGGCCAGGGGACCCCCGCTAGGCAGACGGCGGAGCAGCTGAGCACAGGTCCAGCATCCCGAGCCGCCAAGGGCAGCAGCTCCTCTATCCCATACATCGACTGCAGTGACATAGATAGCGAGTATGACCTGGCGAAGTGCCACGTCACACGCTCCCGTTCCCGCAGTAACGACACTCACGAGGACGAACCGGCGTTCTGGGGAGGCGGGGTTAACGGCGCATACCACCACGAGCGCGAGCTGCGCCTGGCCAAAATCCGGTACCGGGCCAGTCCGTGCCGCGATTCCGACGACGAGTCGCTGGACGCGTCCCGCTCTGGCAGCGCCCCCCTCCGCGCGCCACTCCACAGCACCCTGCTGGATGACGTTTTTCGCGCCTCGGAGCAGCGAAGCCCCTTCGTGTCTCGCCGAGTCCTGGCGGGCAGCAAAAGTGCCACCTCCAGCCCGCTGGTGACCGCTTTTCACCGGACCGGGTCGCTCGGTCACGAGCCCAATGGGCACGTGAGGCGCTGGGGTGACACCAGCCGGGTCTTGGGCACGCGTCCAGGGCAGCGTGACAGAGGGGCTCTTTATGGCAGTCACTCCCCCCTCGCCGTGCGCCCGCCGGCCCCCCACAAGCTGCGAAACGGGCATAACCGCTCAGAGACCGACCCCTCGGTCCTCAGCCGCGGTGGCGAAACACCGGGCCGCCAGGCACGTTCCGCCATCACCGAGCGCCGCATGGTAGCCAATGGCCTGTGCCCTCCCGGCCCCCCCGGCCAACCCAAACAGAGCCCCGCACGCCGGCTTTACGGCCGAGCTGGCGTCGATCACATGGGAGCAGTCCAGATGATGGACGGCTCCACGAGCAGCGGCACCGAGTCCAGCGACTCTGAGTCGGAGGCGGGCATCTCCGTGGGCCACCCGCTCATGTACGGCAACCCCATCGCCGTGGGCAATGCGTCGCCCATGCCCGGGAGTAAATTCTCCTTTGGCAGCCTGTTGGACGAGGAGGTGGAGGACGACGCCGGCTTTAACTTTAGCGACGAGGACGGCTCGCGGGTCCTGAGCTGTTAGGGTGCCAGGCGGGGTTTTGCTCATTTCCACTTGGTCTTCGCCTCTGGTGACTGCGCACAGCCACCATGAGGTGTTTTCCCTCACATAAGTGTTGATGTTCCCTAAGTCTCTAAAGAGCTTTTCCCATGGGAAAGATATACTGGTTTAGAGATGAGTAGGGATTATGTTTAAATGCATCCCTCTCCCTTTGCGTGCAAAGTCAACTTTGCCCAGTCGGGGGAGGGGCCATGCGCACTCGAAACGAGGTCACTCTTCGCTGTTTTGTCAGACCTGAATGGTTTTTTTTGTCCGCTGGGGTTTGGGAAGCATCTTTGTGCCAAGCGGCAGGTTTAGATGGGAGCTGCTGACTTTGTGTCCAGTCTGGACTGAAGCCTAACGAAGCACTTTGTTCTCTCGCTCTCTGAAAAACCCCGGTGTGGTTGACGGGCAAAGCTGACCACAGCGGATCAGGGATTTCGGTTCACTGCAAACTCAAGCTAACCGATATCTAATGATAACTAAATTTCAGAATGAGCGTTTATTAATTTTAGATTTACCACGACCCTCACCTGGAGAAGTGGATTGAAGATTAAAATGGACAAAAACCTTGAGTGCAAAATGATTATTTTCCACAAGAGGATGTATAACAATCTTTGAAATATGAATTCAGTGCTCAGTCAGATGCCTTCACGCGTATTAATGGTAGGATTCAAAATGTGATTGTTTTATTTACATTTTTTCTTTTCCTAATAGAAGTCTTGATTTCACACTTGAAAGATTTTTAATAAAGGTTTCCAGTTAGTCTCGTGCAGTAGGTTAGTTGGAAGGAGATTCTCTTACTCTTAGATGTCGAGTAGATTAGTTTACACAAATGTAGTATTATTTACCCGTGGCATTGAATGTGTTCATCATAGCCTTAGATGCGTTTCCCTGGTGCGGTTTGTGGTCATCTCGTTTTGTGTGTGTGTGTGTGTGTGTGTGTGTGTGTGCGTGTGTGTGTGCGTGCATGTGTGCGTGGCTGCGTTTCTGCTTCATGCGCAGCTGTGCTGTGCTTGTTGTGCTCAGAAGGCTGATCTACCTGTAGCAGAATAACCCCAACCCATGTAGTCCTCCAGCTCTCCTGTCGGTCAGATGCCCTTATGGGACTCGGCTGTAGTGACAGGTTGTGATATTCTACGCTGTAGGTGGGTCTTATTTTGGTTCAGATGAGAATGTGACCCAACCACACAGGGCTGTGAACCATTTCACACACTGTAATGCATATGGGGTTAGGGCCAGTGACTGTCGTTACCGCTGGGAACAGTGGTGTACCTTAAGGCTGTAAACCGCTGTCTTCTCTGGACCGTGGCTTGGAAGAAACGTTCAACTCGGCTGACCGTGACGGCTGTGTCCATGTCGCCTCGCCGCTCGCCCTCCCCGGGCATGTTCCCCATGCCCACCGCTTGTTCAGCTGAGGTGCCGACCTCCTCCAGCCCTGTGACACTCTCACTACCCAGCATGCACTGCTGCCCAGCCTCTCCCAGAACCGTTTACTTCCTTCTCTTTTTACAAATTCAAGATCTATGGAGCTTCATGCCCATTATTGTCATCTGTTTGTAATGTATGACCTGACTATCCTATCTGACTCTGTTTGTAACACAACGCTTGTTTCCTTTTAAAAACCAAAAGAAGACTCTGTCAAATGTAAACACTCTCCTGTCAGCATGTCCTTGTTGGAAAGAGATCGTCCACCACTTCTGCTTCTCTTCTTTTGCTGTTCTGCGGTGGCCAACCTACCTTTCCATGGGGGTGGGGGTGGGGGGGGTGGTGGCATTGCCGGCCAGGGTTCCCTTTGAACGCAGTGATCCCGTTAACTTCAGAGTTCGCTTCAGGATGCCGTAGCGTGGGATTATCTAGCAAGGGCTGCATGTTTGTGTAAGAAACGTCCATATTTATTCAACCGTTATGCATATCTCACTCACTTTGCTGTGATTTTTTAAATATTATTTATACAGCTCCCAAATTTTGTACTGTACTACTTACAAATGTTAAATGACCCACAAAAATGTAAAGATTCACATAAATTTTTGGTTTGCTCTTCTGATGATTATTTCAACTGTATTGGGATACAAGACCTCTGTGAAAGGTCTACAGTGGATTTTACTTTCTATGTTTTATTTCTGCAAAATGAAGAATTTGCTGTAGGTGGATCTCTTGTACTCTGCTAAGAAGGTTGGGTCAGTGTTCCTCAGGCTACGCTGTTGAGGTTAGGCAGCAGGAGAGCGAGAGTCACCTTGGTTACTGGATCACTGCGGTTTTAAAGAGACACTGAGCGCTGACTGTTGGCTTCTCATGGGCTGATATGCTGCATGCAGCTAACGTACTGCTTATGGGGGGGGGGGGGTCTGAAAACCGGATTGACGCAGTACGGCATTGCTGTGCCAGTTCCACCCGTGTTCAGCCAACCAGACAGTCTATGTATATCGAACCCCCCACCCATTAAGGGTAGAATGCATGGGCACTTCTGCACTGGGGGGTACCACCACCCCAACACTCTGGCATGTCCCTGGAGAGTGACCCCCACCCCACCCTACCACCACCCCTGCTCACTGGCATGGCGTGTGTCCTGCAGTGTCCCCCACTGCGTGCCCACTGGCACACTTTCCGTTTCCGCCCCATTCAGTCCTCCCACAAGCTGCACTTTCAGTAAGTCTCACTGCAAGACTCGCAGGTTTTTTTTTTTTTTTTAAACTAAAACGTTTTCTAAAGCATGTTTCGTATTAGCATTAACGTTTGTAAGCTTATTTTGTACTGAGCTTTTTTCCTTGAGCCGAGGTTGACTCTTCAGTCCTTTTCGTACTATGCTGTTAGTGTGTATTTATTGCAGCCTTGCGTTTTGCTGAATGCTCCGTCACGGCCGCGGTTGGCAGAGATACCTGCTGAAAGTGCTGCTTCTCACTGCCCCAAAACCAGAGCCCAGAACGCGGGACGGACTGTATGTAATGACGGCCCGGCGATACCCTGACCTGTCCTCTGTCCTCGATCAGCCCACGCCTCCTCTCCCTCTAAAAGGCCGTTGAGTTGGCAAAGGCCAAGGCAGTTTTCATGACTGTCGGTTGGACTTTACGTTAAGACTTGGCGGAGGGCAGGGCTAAGTCTACACTCACTGTAACACCCCCCTTACATTTCCTAACTGCTGAAAGACTTCTGTTGAAAACTAGGCCCCGTTATGTACTTGCGACTGTAATACTTTTGTATATTGTAGCTTTGTATTGGTGTTCCTCTTGGCACGTACTGCATTCTGTTACTGTCTGATTTTCTATTTTCTATACTTTAACATTGTATAGGGTTGTGCACTAGTGTCAATAAAGTTGACCTTTGTGAAGTGGGAGTCCAGAATCTTCTTTAAAGACCCCCAACGATGTCTTGTGATCGTCCTAGATGCTAGAGTATCCCTGCCCTTCCGTCTGTGGTGGTGTTTAGTAGAACATTCTTAGTTTTTGTCGTGTGTTTGTCTCTCATTTATGCATTGGTGCTCGTGGGGGTGTGTCTGTGTAGCATGCGTGCTGGCCGTTTCGCACCATCCCATCGTCACTCCTCTTCTTCCATCACGTAGCCAGTTTCCCACCCCGTGTCGTAGATGGCTAGAGGTTTCAGGTTAATCGCTGTCTTTTTGAAGCCAGCCTAGCGCGCTCTGTGGACAGAGAATCCGTGTCGGGCAAGTATGCCGTCCAGAACCGTAGCAAATGTAGTCATGATGTAGTTGAATTAGGTAAGTCATTCTGTCTGCCGATTTTTGTTTTCATGACCTCTTTAGACTGAAAGGGGCTGAAATATGTTGACCCATCAGACCCTTGAAGCCATATTCATACAATTGGAGATCTTGAGGTCTTCACATGCCTCGAGCAAATTATTGCAGTTAGCTGTAGCCACAGACCATTTGATGCCCTGTTTGATGTTCCTTCTGCCTATTTGCATACACCCTAGCCTTAGACGTAAGAAGTACTCTGAATGCAAAAAGCATTTCCCACTTACTGTCTTTTTACACTCTTTCAGGAAGAGCATCCAACAGCCCACGTCTGTCAGACTCCTCGGGGGCGTCCCAGGGTCTGCTCAATGGGCAGAAGCAGACACTGACCCCAGGCCAGAGCCCCGATGGGCGGCAGCCTTCACCACTCACCAGCCCTCTGCTCAATGATGCCGGCTGCCTCCGGACCGACGACGAGGACGAGGTTCGGAGGAAGGTTTGTGGCCCAAATGGCCGTGACTTGTAAACAAGTTGGAGTGGGATCGATTGGGTGCTGGCAGCTTCTTTGGTGGTCAGCCAGAGATCCTCTGTGTGTACTGAACTTGACATGTCTTTTAGTTTCCTCCATTACATCTTCGATTTCAATCAGTGCTCACTGTTGCAGAGGTTCCCCACCGACAAAGCCTACTTCATTGCCAAGGAGTTGTTGACAACAGAGAGGACATATCTCAAGGACCTGGAAGTTATTATTGTGGTAAGTCTGTAGTGATCCAGTTCTGCTTACAGTTTGGTGGAAATGCCTTTGCCACAGGCCATATTGAATGTCACGGATCTCTTGAGGGATAGCACGGAGTCAGATTTAGGTGAGACAAAACATTAGTAAAACGTTTGTTAGCTTCCACCACTGATCCCTCCTCTCAACAATGACTGTTGGAAGAAACCACATTTTGCTATTAACTGTCAATTAACAGCTGTTAGCACAGCTATCTCCTCCTCTATGGTTTCCAAGACTGTACTCAAGGGAGAGCATGGCACCTTGACTCTCCATGTTAGTGGGTATGAGTCAAAACCCTTCTAATAATAATAATAATGAATCTTTTATTGGCCATTTGCACAAATATGAATACGGGTGCATCAGAATTTGTATATTTGTCCTCATTCTGCTCTCCGTAGCTTGGGGGTCACAGTGCAGGGTCAGCCATTGTGCGGCGACGCTGGAGCTGGGGGGTTAAGGGCCTTGAGACTTATCTGAGCCACTCACCGCCCCCACTCGCCTATTCTGTCGACTTTGCATGACTTCCTCGCGCTCGTGTGCTGCCGCACTTGAGAATGGATTTACAGTCTGAATTTAGACATTCGTCTTGCTTGTTATGTCGCCGTTTACGCACAGAAGTCCTTTCATTTTCCCTTTGAAGAGTCATTGAAATCTACCTCCTGTCAGAGGTTTCCCCACTTTAGCTTTGTAGGAAGGGCAGCAAGGAGAGCGGTGGTGAAGTAGGCCTGCATGAACACATCAACTGGTTCCTGGAGCAAGGCCTCCAACCTAAATCACTAAAGTACCTAGCTATGTAAATTAGTAGGGTTGTAAGCAGCAGCAAATGTAAATTTGTGTCTTATTATCAACAAAGCTTGCTGGTGCTGTTCAGCATACTGGGTTGACAGCTGCGGTTCTCTGATGTGCCGACACTGCTACCGCGGTGCTAGGCTCTCTCTTGGACATCTGCTTCTACATTTTTTCAGCTTGTGGCCCTTTTCTTTCAGTCCTTCCAGAACTCTGTGGCAAATGACGAGGCCATGCCTGACTCTCTCAGGAACATTGTTGTCTCCAACTTCGACCCCCTGTACAAGTTCCACACAGGGTTTTTGAGGGAGGTAGAGCAGAGGCTGGCTCTCTGGTGAGTTGAAGAACCTCGCCATGTTTTCTTGCTGAGTGACTATTGGTGTGTTTTTTTTTTATCAGATTGTTACATTTGTCTGCTCAATTTATTTTTAGGAGATAACATTTTTCCGGCATACATGGATTAAAGTGAAATACTTAGAACAGGGGTCTCCAACTCCGGTCCAGGAGAGCTACCGTCCAGTAGGTTTTCTATCATACCCGGCTTCTCATGAGCCACACCTGTTCTCAGGTAAAAACCAAGTGGGACAGAAAACCTACTGGATAGTAGCTCTCCAGGACCGGAGTTGGAGACCCCTGGCTTAGAATATAAATGCTTCAGGATTTCTTCAGAATTAATAGCAGTAAAACCATAATTTTGGTTTTATTAAAAATTTTTTTCCCCAAAAATTGAGTTTGTGCCAAATATTGCGGAATAAGCTGGCAAGATTTCTGTATATGCCTTGTTCATCTGTGTTCATAAAACTCTTGATAGTGGGACTATTATCTCTCACTATCGATCTGTGAACCTGCCTTGTGGCGACTTCCGTGTGTAGCTCAGGCAGACAGTTGGAGAGGATCCAACAGGAAATTACATGCCTTAACATGGCTTCGAGAGCGATGGTTTCTATGGTAATGGATGAGCAGTGACAATGGGTCACCCCTCCCTCCCTCCCTCCCTCCATTTGTATGGACCGTCACATGGGAATCTGCTTGCATCAACTGAGTGGTTGATAGTGCCTAGCTCTGCTCAAAGAAACTGACCAGGAGAGTAGTTGTTGTTAGAATCAATCTTGGGAAAAATAAGCTGACAAAAGGAATATTATAATGTTGGAATGTCTAATAAAAGATTAAACAGATTGTTAAATTAAAATTTAAATGCATCAGTGGTTTGAAGTGTGCTGGAGAAGCTGCCTTAAATTCCCCCCTAAGGCATTATATTCTGAGTGTCTCTTCACTGCATTTGATCTACTTTTTTAAGTTGGACAGCCTCATGCCGTGTGTGGTAATGAGTCTCGCCTTAGGAATTTGAGAAAGACCATGATAAGTGTGGATCATCTTCATTCACTTCCTTGTTAGGGCTTGCATGGATACTCCAGGCTTCCCTCTGCTGGTTGGTACATAAAATTGCAGAATATATATTATGTAAACCATAGACCTGGGGTGGGCAGTATTATCTAGAAAGGACTGTTGGATATGCGGGTTTTTGCTGCAACTAGATTACTAATTAGAGGACTGATTGGCTGAAGAGTCCTCACACCTGGATTTGAACAGTGACCTAAAGGTTATCCCTGCATGCACATTGGCCCTTTGAGGGTGATTGCCCACCCCTGCCGTAGACTACGCTGTATGCCCGTATGTATGACCATGCTGAGGTTGATGTGTTCTGCTCAGGGAGGGCCGCTCCAACGCCCACATTAAAGGGGGCTACCAGCGGATTGGTGATGTCATGCTGAAGAACATCCAGGCCTTAAAGGTAAGGAGCCTTTGCCAAAATGCTGTTCACTGCCACCACATTGTCGACACCCACAGCTTGAACCAGGGCTGAGTGCTGAAACTGTATTGCTGGGTATTTGGTGGTGAATGATTTAGTGATTTGGTTCAGAATAAGTAGGATTTTCCAGGAAGTGCAATTCCCCGAAGCTCATTCATACTACAGGAGAGGTTCTCACAGTCTTAGCAGTTACTGGTATTTTCACCAAACCAAAATGGCGGTTTCAAATGACATATAGTCAGCATTTGTTGAAGATTGTATTCTTTGAGTTCCAACAAATACTGAAAGACAAGGCTTGGTGGGCAGTGTGCATCTCAGTGAGTTGGACACCTGTGTCCAGAAGGTCGTTAGCTTGATTCCTGTAGCTGACAGGCTAATAATATCACCATTGAGCCCTTGAGAAAGGTCCTTAGACCATGTAGCACTGTTAATACTATGCTGGTGTTCTTTTGCTGCCCTGTTAAAAATCTTCCACATGCCCTGTTATTGAAGCCCTGTGTGTTTTACGGGGAGCAGAGGAGCATTAAAGAGTTTGTAGGAGGAAGGCGGAGCTGTTTGGGATCATGGCTGTCTGATTGGTTCTTTGGCATTTAGACAGGCTGCATGCTGGGTCAGAAGTAACAGATGGAATGGGGTGGAGGGGGTATTATTTGGCTAATTAAGAGCCCCCTCCCTTCATACTTCCCCCTAAACCAGCGGATCGCGTTTGAAGCCTTTTTAATCACTCTAATTGTTATGCTCATTAATGAGCAGGGTCCAACAGGAAATAGCCACATGGGCCCCACCCAGGTTGTCCACTGAATTATGCCATATGACCCAGGCAGGGGTCTGGCCAGCCGGTCACATGTGTGTCTGGACTTTTTCATGTGTGGACCAGCTGATCTCCTTTGGAGCACCACAGGTGCATTATGGGAATGGACTCTGTCAGAAATTTGACTTTAAACCTTACCGTGATTTAAAGAGATGACCGTCCAACATAAGTAAGTGATGAATTATGGATTTTTATACTAGAGCAGTAATTCCAACATGGCCACCCACACCTGTTTGTCAAAGTTGGACCGATAAGTGGATCATTATTCCTTTGCTTTGCGCTCAGGTGCGCCGAGCGTCTGCCCTTCGCAAAGGTGCCGCCCGTGGCCGCCGGTGTGTAACGCAGCCTCCCCATTCCCGCAGCAGCTCTCAGCCCACTTGCAGAGGCACTCGGAGGTGCTGCTGGAGCTGGAGACGGCGTGCCGCTCCTCACGCCGCCTGGAGGCCCAGTGCCGGGACTTCGAGCTGCAGAAGGCCTGCTACCTGCCTCTCAACGTCTTCCTGCTGCGGCCGCTGCACCGCCTCATGCACTACAAACAGATCCTGGAGCGGCTCTGCAAGCACTACCCCCCCACGCACGAAGACTTCCGGGACTCCCGAGGTAGGTGCCCGCGTGTCTTTTTTTCTTTTTAATATTGTCCAGTCACTGCCTCCTCCCCCCCCCCCCCACCACTCTCCCTGGGATCAGCATCAGGATCATCACAACCTTGAATTCAATGAGCGGTTCTGTAAATTGCAGGACTGATATGTATGGTGGTGGGCAGCTCAGGAGGTTACGATGTTCGCCCTGGGATCAGAAGGTTGTCAGTTCAAATCCCATGGTCTGCAGGATGGTTTCACCATTGAGCCCTCGTGCAAGACCTTTAACCCCACACTATTAGAAAAAAGGTATCAACTTGTACCTGTGAGGGTATAATTACTTGTCACTGGGGCTGTACCCTCAAGGGTCTGTCAGATGTATCCTAGCTGTAGGTGCATGTACTTTTTAGTGTAATTTTAAGGTACAGAAATAGACTCTGAGGAACATTTTTGTACCATTGGGGGTATATTTGTTTTTTGTACCTTGGTGAATGACGCTGTACCAGTGTGTACCCAGTGTAACAGGGCTGTACCAGTGTGATTCACCAGGGTTTGCCTGATCCCACATAAACATCTGCCAAACATCCTAATGCCTTTACGTCACATTCTAGGTCAGTCTTGTTTTTGTACATGCTAAGAAATGCAATTCAGATGTCAAAATCTGGTACGATTTCAGGTGCTTGAGCATGCCGTTGGATGTGAAGTTTTTAGTGAACCCATGCAGATTTTCCAGTGTCTGTTAGAAGTGACATATCTGTCTGATTCATATTAGGGGAACCAGTCATTGAACGGAATGGCGTTGATTTACTGTGGTGTAACAGTATCGTGGGAACGTTGAAACTCGGAGCATAGCGATGGAGCTGCAGTGAGAGCCATGTTTTTTTTAGAAGGACGAAGTGCAGTGTTTGGGTTGTGAAGCTGGTGTGACCACAGTGATTAGGGCTGATTCCTCCCAACGCACGTTCGCCCTCCAGCTGCGCTAGCGGACATATCGGAGATGGTGGCCCAACTCCATGGCACCATGATCAAGATGGAGAACTTCCAGAAGCTGCTGGAACTCAGGAAGGACTTAGTGGGCATCGACAATCTGGCCGCTCCAGGACGGGTAAGCTGTGTCTGCGGATCGTCCCCTTGGTGACCTCCAGGTCATATCCTAGTTGAAGCAATAATGGCTGCAGGTTTTTTTTTCCCCTTGAACAAACGGTGACTTTATTGTAAATTTCTGGCGTTTTCCCCATTGTTTGTTGTTCCTGCAGGAGTTCATCAGGTTAGGCTGTTTGAGCAAGCTGTCTGGGAAGGGCCTGCAGCAGCGAATGTTTTTCCTGGTAATTCCTGTTTTCCTGGATTTAACTGTAGCCATGGGTGAAATGGGGGAGTGTGATTGGGGGTGCCGTGGTTCAGCGTCAGTCGCTTCCCGATTTGACTCCAATGAGACCTGGGTTAATCCCAGAAGTTATTGACGAGGTAAAATAATCCCAGCCATGGCTTTTGAAGCCTTGTCCTGCCCATAGCTAAGCTGGACGAGACAGAAACCACTTCGTTTGGCATTAATGCTTTTGTTTCGCATCGTTTGCACCTTGTAACATGGTTAAAATTAAAGGGGATAGAATCGGATTCCAGGATGGTCCCAGAAAATTCCGGGACAGCCTCGCAAAGCACCAATCCCTTGGGTCTGGGTGCACATAACTCAGTTGGCACTGTGGCATTTGTTAAATGGATTCTTATATTCCAATTAATAAGGTGCCTGTTGCTTAATATCGGCACTTAGTGGACGGCATGCTGACAGGTTACGGTTGTTTAAGGTGGTCACATGTGAGCTTCGAGAGAATTCATCTGGCATTTAGGATGCAGGGGCAGGATTCCACTTCGTCTTAAGACGACTAAAATTCAGGCAGCCGCTTTTTGCCCTGTGCTCTGGTGTGCGTGTGAGTAAAAGGCGTCTTTCTGCCCGGCGACAGTTCAGTGACATCCTGCTGTACACCAGCCGAGGGACGACCACCTCCAATCAGTTCAGGGTGAACGGTCAGCTGCCCCTTTACGGCATGACGGTGAGTCTGGGGTCATGGGAGAGGGGCCACGGATGAGCGAATCGCACCCGAGACCAAGGCTGCTGCTGTTATATCTTAATACGGTGTAAACTTGTAAACAGAGAAGCTGTAAAAGGGGTTAATAAGACTAAGCTGAATATTAGAGCAGCTGTTAAGTAACCTAACAGAATAATGAGAGTGTGGGCCCTGCATGTTTAAGTCTCTCTGTGCAGCTACTAATTAAAGCATTAGGAAAACAGAAGCTTTGTTTTCACAGCCCAGTTAGTGTGGGATCCTCTGCGGAGGGGCCATGCGGTCGCAGTGAATGCGCACGCAATTACATTACAGCACCGCCGCTGACATCACTGTCCCCATCCAATCGGCGCCGCCGTCTTCCTATGTCCCCCCAGATCACCGAGAGCGAGGACGAATGGGGCGTGCCCCACTCCTTCACATTGTTCGGACAGCGCCACACGGTGGTGGTGGCTGCGAGGTAAGACCCCCCCCAGAGGCGTCTGCAACAGCAGGTTATACTGACGTGCCCCTAACAGAAGGGTCGCCATAGCAGCCAGGGCCTTTGTTACCACAAAAATCCATCAATTACCTGCACTACATTCATGAAGCGTTTAACTGGCACGGCTGAGAGCTCGTGTGTGTGCCCTCTAGTGGCCATTTCCTAACATGCACCTCATTAAAGCATTCAAAGTTGAATTCAATTTCAGCGTTTTGCTTCGATTATTGAATCTGTTATTGTTTTGGCCTGAACGTAAGGCTGTTTTTTTCCCCAAAAAATTCCATCTAAAAAAACACATTGTCCGACATTCAAGAACTAGAATATAAATGTCATTATAAACATACAACAGAAGAGAGCATAGATTATCTGCCTCCTGGCCAAACGTAATTCGTCAGTTTTGGAATATCAATGTTTCAGCGCACCACCTGGGCAGGATCCCTGAGGCAAACTTTTTCATTTGTTTTGATCCCACCCACTGTCCCCAATTGGCTGACATAATTCGACTTTAAAATAACTGTCATGTCCCTTATTAAAGTGACTCAGCCATTCACCACAATACATTCTGTGCTCTTTATGCGGATCTGCTTCGTCAAAAACAACCTGCATCCTGGGATTTGAAGCCTTAGATACTTTAGTCTGTTTAAAGCATCGTCATCCAGTCATGTTAGGTTTGCACCTGATTGATGCCCAGTGAGAGATGCAGCCTTTCCCCAGATTACGATGAAGTTACATTCTAATAAACCTATCGTAAGGTGAAAATGCATTTTAATGCAGTACACCTAACCTAACTAACATCATAGCCTAGCCTAGCCGACCTTAAACATGCTAAAATACTTCTACAGTTGGGCAAAATCATTAACACAAAGCCTATTTTATAATAAAATGTTGAATATCTCATGTAATTTATTGAATAATGTACTGAAGGTGATAAACATTTACCGATCGTAAAGTCGAAATATCGTAACCTGTATGTGCCAAGTCTAACTACCCCATGAATTCATGGAATCAAACCTTTGGATTTTCTTTCACACAATCCTCTTTCAGCTCCGCGTCTGAGATGGAGAAGTGGATGGAGGACATCAGGATGGCCGTTGACCTCGCCGAGAAGAGCAGCGGCCTTTCCTCTGACCTGCTGGCCAGCAGCCTCGGCAACAAGAGTAAGTTGTCCCGGTTTTCTGTGGGCCGCGGTGCTGCATGCGATGGGCAGACCTTCCTTTCCACCTTCCTCCCTGTTCCACAGCTTAGCTGCTCCCATATCATATGATCACATCTCAGTCGTAATTTAATTTGAACAAGTTTTGTAAACTCCGTCTAAGTGGCAGGAAGTATACAAACAATTCCATTCTCGCCTCACCCCTACACTTCCTGTGTCACGGTTAGCAAACTGTTTAAAGGGGATGGAGATTGGGCACCTGCTTGAATTCCAGGATGACGGCCGGCCAGTCTGACGGTCCACACTTCCAAGTTCTGTGCGGAAAAACCTGTGTCACGGCAAAGCCCGGCTGCCTTCGTGCCAAACCCGGCACCGCCACGCGGCCCGAAGTCCACCTCAGCTGCTCGGGCCTGCTGCCATCCTTGTGTGCGGAGATGAGCTAGTGACCCGTTTCACTAAATTTCCCAGAATCCCCTGAGGACTCAGCCCTGGAGCAGGAATCTGAGGATGACCTGAGCGCCTCCCGTACCTCCCTGGAGAGACAGGCGCCCAACCGCGGCAACACCACGGTGCACGTTTGCTGGCACCGCAACACCAGCGTGTCCATGGTGGACTTTAGTGTTGCCGTGGAGGTACCTGCCCCGGCACGACACCCCCGCTCCGTCCGTGTGTCTGTGTCTGTGTCTGTCGCTCTCAAACCGGAGTCTCTGTCAAGCTCACTAATGCTCTGTCTTCTTCCTCCTTGCCACACGTTCCTACTCATGGGGCGTTAATCCCAGCCAATCCCCGGAAGTCCCTGCCGTCGTGCTGCAGTGTTTCTCCTCAGGCTTTCTGATGACTCGCTTTCCCATTTCTGTGTCGAACGCTGCTTCCGGTCTTTCACACTAGTGAATTTTAACACCTTAGACCCGTGTTTCCCAATCCGATCGTTGGGGGCCCGCAGTTGGTCCATATTTTTTCTCCTCCCAGCTCCCAGTGGTAAAAGCGTGGACTGTCTGTAGGTCCCCAGGGACTGAATTGGGAAGCGCTGCCTTAGTCTGGCACTATGGCTGTCTGTGCCTTAGCATTGGAATCCATGGTTGTGCCACGTGGACTGATTTTGTCGCTTGTGATTACGCCCCCATTCTTGTGGGCATCTCCACTGACCAGCCGTCCTGGATGATGCCCCCCCGCCCACCCCTCACATATAGTCTATCCTTTAAAATCGAATCACCCCCCTGTTCAGAAGCTGTTGTAAGTCGTCGGGAGAAAACATGGGCATCGTTAGGTCCGATCACTCAGGGCTATAGCTCCAAGAATTTTAATCCTATAGCCCCGAGTATTTTATCCCCGATGCCAGTCTTCCTTCAAAGAAAAAAAAAAAAGCCCGAGGTGAACTTGACTTAGCTCCTGATTTTTTTTTCTATAGCTAGAAATGCCGCTGGGAGGAAATAAAGCTTTAAAATTGCGGTGAGTGAGAAGGTGGAGCTCCAGGCGTCCAGCTCTGTCGCCTGAGGTGCTGACCGGCACTGGTCCGCCCACATTGTTGACATTATTAAAGGTTGAGTTAATGCAGCCATTGATTGACTGCACACAGTAATCCCCAGCTGTGGGGTTTAAAAAGGTCATTTTTTCCCATCTGTAACACTGTGTTTTAAGTGCAAAGGGCATAATTGTTTACAGGGTAACTGGAGCTGGTGCTAAC